TCGGAGGAGAACTCACCACCTCTGTCAGAGTGCAGACGCAGGACAGGAAGGTCCTGGCCGAACCGCTCGCGTAGCTGGAGACAGACTGTGCGGATCCAAGGGATCAAGACAGCAGAGACTTCACCCTTGCCTCGCAAGGGGAAGACTGTGGTGTACCGCGTGTAGTCGTCAACTACCAGCAGAAAGTAGCGCTCGCGGCCCTGTCCACTGACGCGGGCTGGGCCCCACACGTCCATGTGGAGGGTCTGTAGGGGAGCAGTTGTCTGGGGAAACGAGGAGGAGTGAGGAGCGGCGCGCTGCCGCCCCTCGACGCAAGGAAGACAGGGCGGGGCAGGTGAGGGCGGCAGGGGAGGCAGAGACCTGGGGAGACCAGAGACAAGGAGACGGGAGTGCATGCCACGAAGGCGTGGCAGGGAGGGGTGACCAAGGCGGTGGTGCCAAAGAAGAGTCTGGTGCGATGGGAGGCGACACGAGCAAGAGGCGGCTACCTGACCTGACGCGGACACGTGAGCAGACGCAGCGACCTGAGGAGGCTCGGTAGCCAGTGTGTACAGACTCGACCCTGGCTGACGAGTGAACGTAGCCAGGTGACACCCCGTCCGTGTGCACGTGCAGATCGACACACGCTGACCCCCAGGATTGGTAGTGGGGGCAGCGGTAGAGGAGGCGGAGGCGGTGGAGGTGGTGGCGGCGGTGGGACCGGTGGCGGAGGTGGAGGCTCTGGTGGCGGCGGTGGAGGCAGCGGAGGGAGTGGCGGCAGTAGAGGCGGTGGGACCAGTGGTGGTCGGTCTGGACCTCAGCGTGGAGGCCCTGGTGGTGGTCGGGGCCAGCAGCAGCAGCGTCGGAGCGAGACTCAGACGCCCCAGCAGCTCCGTGAGTGGTTGGTTCAGCGTGGGGCGGGTGAGGGTAGTGAGACCTGCCCGTATGTCATTCGCACGGGTGCCCGTGCGGGCCGGACATGCGGGAGGTTTCACACTGAGCGCCGCTGCTTTGCCCGCCTTGACGACGCCTGACATACTGAGTTTGGTGATGACGTCGAGCGCCCTCGCTGGGCGGAGTTGCTTAGGTCGGGAGTTGCTATCTTTGACCTAGACTTTGATGTTATTATCTCTGCCATGTATGCTTTGTCTTTTAGTGCTGAGGGTGACTGTTACTAGTGTGTGCCGCCTGACCCAGGTATAGCCGCTGCTGCTCTATGTGCTAGTGCTCTGATACCATGTGAACATAGTAGCTAGAATGACGAGAATGAATGAGATTAGGAAAGGAGGGGGGGGTACAAGTAGAATGTCGAGAGAAACTCTGTACCCCCTAAGGCTAAACCCACTATAGCCTAGACAACTGTAAACACATAAACTAAACCTAGATACAACTAAGCATATATGTTTGACAGCCTGAAGCAGAACGCATGATGGAGCTCGACCGTGCACTTCACTACCTCGTCAGCACCCCGACGATCGGACTAACCTACCACAAGACCGGAACTACGATACCTAAGTTAATCGGCTACGTCGACGCCGATCACGCTGGAGACTCCGACAACAGACGATCTCGAACTGGCTACATCTACCGACTCGAACCTATCAGACATATCTCATGGCAGTCAAACAAGCAAGAGCTAATTGCTCTCTCCTCAGCTGAAGCAGAATACATCACACTCTGCTCAGCCACCAAGGAAGGACTATATCTTAGCGAATTGCTGGAAGAAGCAAATTTGTCTCAGTTACCCAGCTTCTCCCTCTTCTGCGACAACCAATCGGCCATTCGCATAGCAAACAAAAATTGGTTCGCAAATTGAACGAAGCACATCGCCCTCCGGTACTTCTTCATAAAAGACGAAATTGAAAAGGGAAGACTCGAGTTATCCTACTGTCCCACATCCGAGATGGCAGCCGATTACTTGACCAAGAAACTCGGAAAACAGAAGTTCGAGTACTGCATGCTGCTGACTGGACAAGGACACGTCATCAGCAGCGACACTTCAGAAGCGAAGGGGAGTGTTGGAAACAAGTAACATAAACGCTTCTGAAGCAATCGAAAGTATCAACACGAAACGGAGCAGACTACAAGCGAAGCAACACGCGAGTCAACAAAAGCAACCGCTGGAGGTTACACGAAGGTCAAAGGTCGCTGACCTTTTGACTTGACGAAAAATACAGTGCGACAGCAAGGACACATAACTGACTCGATACTGAGCAGTTACCCGAGTCGTCACTGTATCGAACCGCAACAGCAGAAACAGTTAAAATAGAACCTTTCAAAAGCTTTGTAATCATATAAAAGCTTTGTATTCCTCTGCTATTATCAACTTATCTTGTTCTCACACACCAGTGCAAGGTGGTTCAGTTTACTTCATTATCAACGCTTCCGCAACTACAACATTCCTACTACAACAGATCTTAGCCTTGAAAAAGATCCTAAGGGCTTGTTCTCAGCCCAAGAGCAGGTGTCCCTTTGCGTGAGTTATAGGTAGTAGTGCTAACAGTCAACTGTTCGCATGACACAGGATAATACAGCTTCATAGATTTGACTCTAAGTTTAGCCCGTTTCACAAACAGGTACATAACTGAATAGGTACTTTCCTATACCATAAATCTCTTGTATCTTTTCTTTATTACCAATTCTTGTTCTTACACTTGACCAGTACAGGAATTCCAGTCTTCCGCTGCAATACATTACAAAGACTAAACTCTAAAAGATCCTAAGGCATTTCTCAGTTCAACAATAGCTTCAGACCCATCTTATCTTGGCTTGGACCATTCTACCAGGTTTTCCTAACGCCCTTGAATGCGGGCGAGAACCGGGGTCAACTGGGCCAAGGGCACATGACTTCATACCTATATGCATTCCGTCTCTTATTGATTTTGCTGCTTTTAATCAACTCTATAAAGTTGAAAGCTTCTCTGCAGCCTTCTAGACTTGGATGGAACATATATCAGGCTAAGCTACAAGTGTATCATTTGCCTGTTAGCATCATCAAGTAACAGGACCAGGGTGTGAGAATATAATTGTATACATTATTATACTATAACTACCTGTAGTGTAGACTTATTGTAGTGCTAAACTTGTTTGGTGGTGCACCTTGCTTGCTCTGCCTATATCCTCATACCTTCTCTCCTTATTGAACACCTTTTTGGCTTGCACTTTCCTCTCGCTCCTTTCCTAAGCCTAAACCCTAGGCTACTAAGTCTACTAAGCAAAAGCACCTACTTTAAACATGCTATCAGAGCTGGTCCTTCCCAGGACCTAATTTTCATGGGCCCACCAGTCGCGCTGCCCGTCATGCAGCACCCCTTCCCGTCAGGCGCCCCGAGCGCGTGGCGGTTTCTGCCCGTCGCACGCCCTGGGCGTGTGGCGGTTTCTGCTTGTCGCACGCCCCGGGCGTGCGTCGGTTTCTGCCCGTCGCGCGCCCCCAGCACGCGACGGTGTTCTGCCCGTCGCTCGCCCCCAGCGTGCGATGGTTTTCTGCCCGTCGCGCGAGGGCCCCGTTGCAGTGCTTCCCGTCGTCCCCGCCGCCCGCTTCCTCCTCCCTCTCCTGCTTCGCGTGCAGCAGTTTGGGGGGGGGCGGGGGGGGGGGGGGGTGGGGGGAGGGTTGAGGGTGTTGGGGGGACGCATGAGTGGCGGTGGGGGGTGGTTGCACCTCCAGCGCCCCGCTGCTCTGCTTCGTCACCAAGCCAGCAGCCCCCCCCCCCCCCTCCGCCTCTACCTTCCCCCTCTGCTGCTCCTACTGCAGCGGCGGTTTCTGCCCGGCGCCTCGTGCGCCCTGCCCGCCCGCGCCCGCCTCACCAGATCGTGCACCTCGCCCCCCTTCCCTTCTCTGCCATCTCCCTACTGCGTGTGCAGCAGTTTGGGGGGAGGGGGAGGTGGCACCAACGGCACCACCCTGCCTCCTTTGTTTCACGGCCGCACCTGCTGCTGTGTGGGGGGAGGGTGGAGTGGTGGGAGTGGTGAGAGTGGCGGGAGGAGCTACTGCCGCTGCCGCTCGCCTTCCCCTTTCTCTCCCTGCTGCGCGTGCAACAATGGGGGGGTGGGTTTGGGGTGGCGAGTGTGAGCTGTCAGAGGTCCACTGGTGATCCCCGATTGATCCTAGGGAAGGGTTACAGGCTCGTTGTCCTGGGGGGTTATGGGCGCACTGACCCGCTACTTAACAAGCCCTTTTATCCCAATGGTCTAGTGGTTGGGATTCTGACATGAGCACCCAGCTGCCGCCCCTCCTCTCTCTCTCTCACTGCCACACATGCCGCTGTGAGGAGGAGGGTAAGGGGGTGGCGGGCTTTTGGCGTTGGAGGAAGGGTGGGGGACCACCGTGGGTGGGGAAGGCGTTGGAGGAAGGGTGGGGGGGAAGGTGTGAGGTTCCAGGGGGCGGTTGACAAGGGGGGTGAGGTTGAGGGGGGTGGCTGAAAGGGGGCGTGGAATCAGGGGGTTAGTAAGAGGGGCTCGCCGCGCTAGGTTCCCGCCCACCTCCTCTCCTCCCTCTCTCACCCTCCCCCCTTTGTAAAACGGGGGTTCGTAAGAGGGGTTCGCCGCGTGGCTCCCCCCACCTCCTCTCCTCATCCCTCTCTCACCCCCCCCTTTTGTAAAACGGGGGTTCGTAAGAGGGGCTCGCCACGTGGCTCCCCCCACCTCCTCTCCTCATTCCTCTCCTCTTCCCTCTCTCTCTCTCGCTTCCTCATTTACCTCCTTGACGTCTTCCACTGCGCGTGGTGTACCCCTTCAGAGGGTGTTTCTACACATGGTTCTTGACTGCAGGCAATTCGGGGGTGTCAGAATATAATTGTATACGTAATACTATAACTGTCTGTAGTGTAGACTTAGTGTAGTGCTAAACTTGTTTGGTGGCGCACCTTGCTTGCTTTGCCTATATCCTTGTACCTTCTCTCCTTATTGAACACTTTTTTGGCTTGCACTTTCCTCTCGCTCCTTTCCTAAGCCTAAACCCTAGGCTACTAAGTCTACTAAGCAAAAGCACCTACTTTAAACACAGGCCTGTTGATGGGGCAGTGTCATTGGTCAGGCACTTCTGTAAGAAAGTTCTTCTTCACCTGCAGTCATGGGACCGAGCAGTGGAGAGAGCGATTCCGGCACACGGCAAGCAGCAAGCATGCAAGGACGCACAGCCATCCATTAGCCACAGGAGGGGGGTCCGTGGCACGGGATGGGGGTCCGTGGCACAGGATGGGGGTCCGTGGCACAGGATGGGGGTCCGTGGCACGGGCGGCTACGAGCATAAGCGGGACAGATGGGCGCATCGAGCATGAGTATCGGACAAAAGCACTTCAACAGAATGAATGCAGACTGGATGTGAGTGAGGAGTTTCGAGAGGATGTGATTAGAGTGAGCGTGGGCAGTGTGACAAGGAGGGCAGAGAATGTGTGGTGCATGGAGAGGAGGGCAGCGCGGGTGAGTGGAGGGCGGGGAGCACCTGCTCGAGCGTGAGGAACATGATGACATTCCAGGAGCCCACGCGGCCCAAGTTGGGGATGAAGCCTTTGTAGAACGCCAGCACGCCCTGGGGGGAGGGGGGGGGGAAGGGAGGAGGGGAGGGGAAGGGGGGGAGGGAGTTGTGAGGGGAGAGGGGAGAGGATGTGGCAAGAGAGTACCAGGTGCAGCATACCGTTGGCATTGGAGAGTGCTGCACGTGCTACAGCCTGCATGGACTTGTGCGGTTGAGACAGCTGGAGTCTCGCAGCCGCAGCTCCCCTGAGCCGGCGGACGCGCTGTTATCCATGCGGATCTCTTTGTTCGCCACTCTGGTGCCTCTCAGCCTGCCTCCACTCCTGAGTGGCAGCCACGACCATGGGCGCCCACGGCTCTGCCCATACGCTTGAGAGAAGCTGTACATGGACAGAAGGTACGCCATCAGCTCCCAATACCCACGCGCGACCATGGCATGGGGCGGGCGGCAAGAGATGCGGCAGGCAGGAGCAGCAAGCAGTAAGACAGCGAAGCCACCTAGGCAGGAGACTTCCCATGCAGCGTTGACACGACACGTGCACATGCCCCTTCCATCACGTGCACATGCCCCTTCCATCACGTGCACATGCCCCTTCCATCACGTGCACATGCCCCTTCCATCACGTGCACATGCCCCTTCCATCACGCCGCTCTGCTCCCAGCGCCCCTGGCTGGCGGACTGTGGCGCCAGCCAGCCCTTGGGCGCGCCCAGCCACCCACGTACCACACGGCGTCACTGCCTCCGCCCACAGTGGGTGGTGGCACTGCAGCACGCTCACCTGGTGCGCGCTTGTACTCAAGTTTCATGAGCACATGGATGGAGCAGTTGAATGAGGGAGAGATCATGCCAATCAGAGAAGCTATACATGCCAATCAGAAGCTATACATGCCAATCAGAGAAGCTATACATGCCAATCAGAGAAGCTATACATGCCAATCAGAGAAGCTATACATGCCAATCAGAGAAGCTATACATGCCAATCAGAGAAGCTATACATGCCAATCAGAGAAGCTATACATGCCAATCAGAGAAGCTATACATGCCAATCAGAGAAGCTATACATGCCAATCAGAGAAGCTATACATGCCAATCAGAGAAGTTATACATGCCAATCAGAGAAGCTATACATGCCAATCAGAGAAGCTATACATGCCAATCAGAGAAGCTATACATGCCAATCAGAGAAGCTATACATGCCAATCAGAGAAGCTATACATGCCAATCAGAGAAGCTATACATGCCAATCAGAGAAGCTATACATGCCAATCAGAGAAGCTATACATGCCAATCAGAGAAGCTATACATGCCAATCAGAGAAGCTATACATGCCAATCAGAGAAGCTATACATGCCAATCAGAGAAGTTATACATGCCAATCAGAGAAGTTATACATGCCAATCAGAGAAGTTATACATGGGCAGCACAGGCAGCAGCGCAGGAGCAAGGCAAGCGACACAACTCCCATGCACCCAATCGGACTAGATAGCTGTGAGAAGCAGGGGCAGCAGGCGTGAGGCACGCACGTCGTTGCGGAAGGTCTTGAGGAAGCAGTCGAGCGTGCCCTTGTACTGCCCGCTGCTGTCGCCCATCACCCTCGACTTCACCTGCTCGCCCGGGAGAGAGGGAGGGCGGCAGGACGAAGGGAGGTGGGGCAGTGAGGAGCGCAAAGGGTTGGGAGAGGGACGCGAACGGTTGAGAAGAGCAGTGGCCCTAGCACTGCCACGTGCTCTCACCGTGGCTGCACCTGGTAGGCCGGCGGCACAAGAGGCAGGGGTAGGGATGGTAGACAGCACGAGGACAGGGGCGAAGAAGAGAGGCAAGAGTGCGGAGTGAGATGAATGGGCAACGCAATGAAACAGAAAGCCAGGACTCGGGAGTTGGAAAATGAGGGGTAGGTGAAGGCAGGGGCGCGAAATGTGTGGGGGGGGTGGGGGGGTGGTGTGAGGGTTTGTGGGGAAGCGGGTGGGGAGTGTGGTGAAAGGGGGGCGGAGCATAGGGGATGGGAGAGGAGAGAGGGGAAGGGGGAACGGAGTGTGGGGAAGGGGTGTTCAAAACGAAAGAGCAGTAGGAGAGGGGTGCTGTGAGAGGGATGTGTATGAGTGAACAGGAAGCGATGTGTGGCAGGCGGGGCGGCAGGCGGTGTGGCAGGCGGGGGGCGGGCGGGGCGGCACTCACCACATCGACGGGCGAGCCGATGCAGACGGCGAAGAAGCCGGCGCCCAGCCCAGCGATGAGGTGCGTCCCCACGTTGTCCCCGAAGCCCGGCACCTTGAGCAGCGACTGGTGGGGCGGGCAGGTGAGGGCAGGGGGGGGAGGGGTAGCGAGGGAGAGAGACGAGAGGGGAATTTTGAAAGAAGTGCACAGCGCATGTCTGCTGGCAATGCATGAGCGCAGCGCATGTGAGCAGTGCAGAGCACGTGGCAGGGCAGCACCGCCTACCTGCTTGATCTGGTCGTAGCTGGCGAGCTCACCTGCTTGATCTGGTCGTAGCTGGCGAGCTCACCTGCTTGATCTGGTCGTAGCTGGCGAGCTCAGCGGCGTTGATGATGGCGTTGCGTGCGATGTTGGGCCCCACGCCCGTCCACAGCGCTGCCACGCCCTCCTGCCATGCCATGCCATGCCATGCCATGCCAGCAGCAGTCAGAGTCAACGTTGAAGGTTCGTGATTGGCTCTCAATTTCGTATGCTGAAGAGATCCGTGTCCTGTATTGCCGTCAATACAAGATACTGCCATGCAGGTTTCATGGTTTCATGGTTACAAGTGTTGAAAAAACCGGTTAAGCTTCTGTGTTTCGAGGTTGGAAAAAACGCAGACAAACAACACTTGTAAATTGAAAGAATGCCATGAGGGAAGAGTGGTGGGATTGAGAAGGGAGAAGGGACGAGCTGGAGGGACGCACATGCGGGGGAGGAAAACGGTGGAGACAGAATGAAGGATGGGCCACACCACGCTAAGAATCACAAACAGCAAGCCCCTCCAACAATCCACCTCCCGCCCCCCCTCCACTCCTATCCCTCCCACACTCCACCTCTCACCCGTCCCAGGCTGGGTGGCGGCTGACCTGGCGGGCGATGGTGGCGTAGGCGTTGAGAGCGCCCGAGTAGCGCTTGGGCGTGCCGGGCGGCAGGCGCCCCTCCGACTGCAGGCGCACCTTCACCAGATCCGTGGGGTTGGCGATTGATATGCCCACCGCCCCTGTGCATGGTGCATGGTGCATGGGTTAAACGGGTTGCACGGGTTGGATGTGTGGTGCATGGCGCATGGCGCATGGTGCATGGTGCATGGTGCATGGTGCATGGCGCATGATGCATGATGCATGGTGCATGGTGCATGGTGCATGACGCATGGTGCATGGTGCATGGTGCATGGTGCATGGTGCATGGCGCATGGCGCATGGCGCATGGTGCATGGTGCATGGTGCATGGCGCATGGTGCATGGTGCATGGTGCATGGTGCATGGTGCATGATGCATGGTGCATGGTGCATGGTGCATGGTGCATGGTGCATGGTGAGGAGAGAGAGAGCGCGTTTGAAGGGAAGCGGTTGTTGGGTTGGAATGTTCAGAGAAATGAGCATAGCATGTGCGCACGAGCAATGATGAGCACAGTCTAGCACGGGTGCGAGCAGGGCAGCACCGGTGGGGTGGTGGGAGGGAGCAGGGGGCCATGGCACCTGTGGTGAGGGCAGCGGCGATCTTGACAGTGAGAGGCACGTCGCCCGTGTGGTCCTTGCCCACGAACAGTGCCTTAACCTGTCCGCCCCACCACGCACAGCGCGCGGGCAGGGGGCACAGGGCAGGGCGCACAGGGCAGGGCGCACAGGGCAGGGGGCAGGGAGCACTCGGCATGAGAGCAACAAGGAGCACAGAACTTGAACGCAAGTGGCAAGGTCGGCGCTCATCACAGCCCCTTCCACCGCACCCTGCCCACCACCGCACCCTGCCCACACCCTGCCATGGCCGCCGCCTCTGCCACCTCGCCACCGCGCTGCAGCACGCTCACGGGGTCATAGAGGCGCACAGCAGCACACTCACGGGGTCATAGAGGCCGATGCGCAGGCCGCCATAGACGCACTGGCGGTGCAGCCCCGGCACGAGCCCCTTCCACAGCGCCGACAGCCCCTCCTCGCGCGCAATGGTGCCCATCGTCCCCACCATCCCGCGGTACTTCACTGCGCCCGCTGCTCCGCCCGCTCCCGTCGACGGCTTGCCCTGCAGCTGCAGGCGCACCTTGGCCGTGTCGATGGGCAGTGTGCAGAACTGCGCGCAGGGGGGACGGGGGGGGGTGGTCGCGGGGGGAACGGGGGAAGGGGAGAGGACGGGCGGTGCAATGGCCCACGCGGCTGCTGGCTACCCGAGACGCGCGTCACCCCAGCGCAGGTCACGAGAAAGGAGGTCACGCGGGGCGACGGGAATCTGGACGCGCAAAGAGGGAGCTTGCGAGGCGGCGGAGGGAGGCAGAGCGGCGAGGGACGCCGCGGATCTCACCTCAGCGAAGCACGCGGACATGGCGCTGCTAGCGAGGATGCCATAAACGGGTATGTACATCCGCTTCCCGTCCACCACTACCTCCCCGCTTCCGCCTCCTCCCCCCATTCCGCGCGATCGCGATCCGCACGGGCGCCGCAAGCCGGTCGGCGGGGAAGAGCTAATCGCACGCGAGGCGAGCACGCGTGGGGGGAGAGCGAATGAGGAATCGAGACGGCGCGAGCACGCGGGCAGCACGCAGCGAGCTCCGAGAAAGCTCGTCGCAGCGTGCGGTGCGGGTGCGCGTGGCGGACGTCGAGATCGATCAGGAAGGGCGCGGCGAGCTCGTCGCGTCGTCCGCAGCAGCTGAGCGAAGCTGCGCGAGGCGGTTGAGCGACAGGCGGCTTAGGGATTTCTGTGGAAGCGGGGTTCAGCAGATTCGGGGCGCGCGAGGAAGGCTGGCGCCGCGCTTGTGTGGCGAAGCGATTTGGTGGCGGTGGCGAGGAGGGGCACGCAACGAGTGGAGCGGTGAGGCGTGTGTGGGTGGAGTGGCGGGAGCCCAGAGATGCACAGACTCACGTGGTGGCGGGCGTGGTGGGGCAGAGATAGTGGGGAGGGCGCGGAAGCAATCGAGGGGTGGAACACCGAGGTGCGCGTGGCGAGGCACGTGCAGCTCTCGATTGTGTCACGTCAGGTGCACAGTTGGCTGCCAGGTTGGCGAAAGCATGCCCTTACGCCCAGGGAGGCGGTTGTTGATTGGTGGAGGCACTGCTTTGCTTCCATGTTTGTGGGCTCCACGAAGTTGATACGCCTTTCGTTCATACGCCTTCTGGGAGGGAATGACGAAGCGCCGTGTTTTCTCGTCTTCAATTCCAACGGGCAGTGGTTTTTACAGGCCTCCTGCCACGCGATCGCGCCCGATTCCCGTGGTCAGTTTTCGCCATCAATAGTCATTTTGTAGGTTTTTACGAGTTTTTCGATCACAGACGGTATCTGCCCCAGAGGTGAGAAACACAACTCACTTCCCTGAATAATCATTACGCCACCCAGGAAACACGTTCGGAACAGTGCGAACAATCATTTCGCGCTGATATTTTCCCTCAACCGCGGAAGTACGGTACTTGTTTGACGGGCGCGCAGTTTTCCCGCCACTAACGCTTTCTGTGTGGCCCGTAACAAGCACACGGATGGCCCGTATAACAGCTAGAACGGCTCATATCGCATATTTTTGCGCGCGTTCAGTTTTTACAGTTCACGGGCCACCGTAGAGGTCTGACGACTGTCCCGTGAAGCAGTTCAATAGGACCACATCGCAGCGATTCGATCGCACTGAATTTCCCGCGTTTGAATTCACATTCGCGCGAAAATAACGAGGCCATCATTGTTGTTCAGTCATCTACTCACGGTTGTGTCCATTTCGTCTTCACTGCACTGGCCGATTTGGTGGCCCTTTCTAAGTGATCTAGTCCACCCGTAAGTACCAAGCTCAGCCATAAAGTGCTCCACTATCGTTTTACTCCTCAATAGCTGCCATGTCGGAACCCAGGGAACGCGCGGAGCGGTTAGCGAATAATGTCAGATATATATGCCTTAGCACATGTAGGCTGTAGTGGGGTAGACTCTAAGGGGTACAGGTTTCTTATTTGTACCAAACTCATTCATAGTTCATTCATTTCCTGTTTTCTTACTTCACATGGTATAGAGCGGGTTCCTACATTTACGAGATGTTTGGACCTGCCCACGGAAACCAAGAAAGTGTACAGAATTCGGTGTTGATGGCGAAAACTGACCACGGGAATCGGGCGCGATCGCGTGGCAGGAGGCCTGTAAAAACCACTGCCCGTTGGAATTGAAGACGAGAAAGCACGGCGCTTCGTCATTCCCTCGCCTTCTGGGCTCGCTTCGGATTTAGGCAAGGACAGCATAACATGGGACATTAGTGAATGTACACTGAAACTACTGCTAAGTAAACTAACAGCATTCCAAGGCTCCCACTTTCTAGAGTTTCTGCTGAAAGCAAAAAAGACTTGCTTTGTGTAGCCTTGATCTTGTGCAATGTCAGTCGTAAGCGTCAGGTCAGTCGAAAACTGACCACGGGAATCGGGCGCGATCGCGTGGCAGGAGGCCTGTAAAAACCACTGCCCGTTGGAATTGAAGACGAGAAAGCACGGCGCTTCGTCATTCCCTCGCCTTCTGGGCTCGCTTCGGATTTAGGCAAGGACAGCATAACATGGGACATTAGTGAATGTACACTGAAACTACTGCTAAGTAAACTAACAGCATTCCAAGGCTCCCACTTTCTAGAGTTTCTGCTGAAAGCAAAAAAGACTTGCTTTGTGTAGCCTTGATCTTGTGCAATGTCAGTCGTAAGCGTCAGGGCTTGATAACCTGTACTGCCACGTGCGGCGCTGCCGCACCACGAGCTGCCAGAAGCCCTTCTCCCACGGGCCCTCCGCCCTCCACCCCTCCCCTCCCTCCACTGTGCCGCCTTCCCCGTCCTGCCCACGGCCCGCCATGGCTCTACAGCTGCGCGCGGCACCGCTCTTCACCGCGCTGCTTTCCACCAAAGCAACCTCGCCACTCTCGCACCTCGACCCGCCTTCGCTTGCATGCCATGCGTGTTCTCGTGAGCCCCCACCTCCCATGCCCACTCCTTCCATGGTCCCCGCAACAGCCCTCCCCTCTCTCAACGCCCTTGCACTGCCGCCCCCTCCGCTCACCTCCACCAACCGCCTCTGCTTCACCGGACTCACGGCTGCTGCCGCCATACCCACCTCCACCCTCCCCTCATCCTCCACCTTCCTCTTCTCTCCCCTCGCTCCTACCGCCGTTCCCCCCTGCTCCCCTCGTGTCAGCAAGTGCCCCACATCTCTCCTGCCCCGCCTGCTCCTCCGCCCCTTGCTCTCCCACGCCGAGCGCCACTCGTCACCGCTGCTGTTCTCACTGCCACTGCTGGTGCTGCCAGCACAACCACCACCACCACGTGTGGCAGCAGTGCTGCAATGAGCACGGGGCGAGGGGGCAGCAGCGCCAGCAGCACCGCCTGGCAATGGTCCCCCCTGAGTAGAGCGGCTCTTCTTGCGGCGTCGCCCGCCGTCCCACACCATCCACAGCTGCCGCCGCCGCCTGCTCGCCCCTCCGCTGCACCGCTGCTGCCCCTCCTGCTGCCCCTCCTGCTGCCCCTCCTGCTGCCCCTCCTGCTGCCCCTCCTGCTGCCCCTCCTGCCCCACCATCCTGCCCAGCGCCCTTGCTGGGGAGCCCAGCGGCTTGGCAACATCCTCCCCTCGCACAGCACACGCACCACCACTGCCCGCATCAGTGCCACCACCAGCATCAGCATCAGCATCAACGTGAGCACCATCAGCAGTAGCAACGTGAGCAGCATGAGCAGCATCAACGTGAGCATGAGCAGCATGAGCAGCATCAACGTGAGCAGCATGAGCAGCATCAACGTGAGCAGCATGAGCAGCATCAACGTGAGCATCAGGGCTGGCAGATGCAAGGGCATGGAGAGGAAGAAGAGGTGCAGACTGTTGGCAGTGGTCTCGAAGCACATCCCCGCCACTATCACCTCCTCCCCCTGCACCCGCCGCTGCTGCTACCGCCTCACGTGATGCATGACATGGTGTGCATCCCACCTCACTCGCATCTAGTGTCCTCTCCCCACGCGCATCCCACTCGCCACGCCACTCGCCGCTTCCTCCATCTACCCGGCGCACACCAGTGCAGGCGCCACCACCCCTCTCACACCCACCCGCCCTTCCACCCCTGCCTGCAAGCACCGCCCCTTCCACGCCCTCCCCTCCCCCCTCACCTCTTTCCTCCGCTCCCCCCTCACCTTCCCCTTCACCTCCATCCCCTCGCACCTTCACTCCTCCCATTCTCCCTTTCTCTGTTCCTCCCTCTCTCCCTTCATCCATGCCTTTTCCCTCGCTTCCCTCCTCTCCGTCCTTCCCTCTTTCCTTCCCTCTAACCTCCTCCCCTTCATGCCCTCCTTCCTCCACTCCTCCCTCCCCTCTTCCCTCCCCATGCCCCTCCCCATTTTCCTCCCCACTTTCGTCCCCACTTTGCTCCTTTCCGTCCTCCCATCCGTCCTCCTTTCCTACCTCCCCGCTTTCCTCCCCAGTTTCCCCCCTTCTTTTCTCCCCTCTTTCCTCCCCTCTTTCCTCTTCTCCTTCCTTCCCTTCTTCCTCCTCACCTCCATCCCTTCTTCCATCACTTTCCTTTTCTCTTCCTTCCCTTTGTCCCTCCCCACTCTCCTCCTCTCTGGCTTCCCCTTCTTCCTCCTCTCCTACCCTTATTCTTTCCTCCCCACTTTCCTCCCTCCTTTCCTCCTCTCCTACCTCCCCTCCTTCTTCTCTTCCCTCCTCTCTTCCCTCCCTTTGTCCCTCCCCGCCTTCCTCCTCTCCTTCTTCCCCTCCTTCCTCCTCTCCTACCTCTCCTCTTTTCTTCCCCTTTTCCTCTTCTGAATGCTTCCCTTGCTTCTCCTTTCCTCCCACCCTTCTATCCTCCGCTCCTCCTTTCATTCCAATTTCCTCCTGTCCTCTCTCCCCTCTTCCCGCCCTTCTTCGCTCCCCTCCTCCCTCCGCTCCTTCCCCCTCGCCCTCCACTCGTCCCCAGAGCCCTTCCCCTTCCCCTTCCCCTTCCCCTTTCGCCATGTCTTTCTCTAATCGCCTCCGTGCGGACGGCACCATGGCATCATCCCCATCCACCACCCCTGCCAGCGCTGCCTCACACCTGCTCCCCACTAGTCTCCCATCACACCCACTCCGCCCCCCGCTGCTGCTGCATCCCACTCCCATCTCCCCACAGCACCGCTCTTCACCGCTTCCTCTCTCCCAGCACCTCTCTTCACAGACGCTTTGCCGGCCACTGCACGCCATCTGCTCACCCACTGTACTATCTCCCCCTCCATCCTTCCCCTTCCCATCCTCCCTCCCCACATCCCCCTCCTCCTCCTGCCACTGCTGCCACTGCTGCTGCTGCTGCTGCTGCTGCTGCTGCTGCTGCTGCTGCTGCTGCTGCTGCTGCTGCTGCTGCTGTTGCTGCTGCTGCTGCTGCTGCTGCTGCTGCTGCTGCTGCTGCTGCTGCTGCTGCTGCTGCCACTGCTGCTGCTGCTGCTTCTCTTCTTGCTCCACCTTCTCATGATCGTCATCCCACCCCTCCTCCCCCGGCGCCCGCCCTTCCTGCTGCTGCTCAAGAACCTTTCCTTCATCTGCCTCGCTCTTCTCCTCCTTTCTTTTCCATCTCTCGTGCCACTCATCTCCCCCAAATTCCTCGCGCCCCTCCTCCCTCGCCCTCCCTACCAGCTCCTGCCACTGCCTCCCCCTTGCACCGCCCACCTCGCCCACACTGCTCCCCACCTCCCGTTCTCCCCCTCCCACCACCACCACTCCTTTTCCTTCTCCCTCTGCTCCTCTCCCCACCCCTCCTCCTCCCCCATCCCACGGCCCATCCACACGGCCATCAGCGCCCACCGCACAGCGCCGCTCAGCCACCACAGCGGCGCGGGAAGCGCTGGGAAGAAGCAGGGCGCGGGGCGTGCAGGTGGGGGGTGGGGGGGGGCAGGCCACGGAGGCAGCAGGCGGGGAAGCAAGCAAGGGGGGTGGGGGGAGGTGGAGAAGAGAGACGGCAGGCGGGGGAGCAAGCGAGGGGGGTGGTGCGGGCAGCAGGAGCACTTCCAGCGCTGTCATGTGGCCGCGCTGCCCTCGCTGCGCCTTCTCCTCCGTGCCCGCATCCACATTCACGTGCCTGTACCGCGCTGCACTGCTGTGAATCGCACCGCATGGCCCCCCCGGTGCCATGGGATGGGCGTGCGGGGGAGCGGGAGAGGGGAGGACAGGGGGTGGGATGGCAGCAAGCCCCCTTGTGGGAGGGCGCTGTCCGCCCTGCTCCCATGCCCGCCCCTCTGCTGCCCTCACAACACCCTCAGCTGCTGGCCGTGCATTGTGAGCACACACGGCGTTCCCTTGTGTGACCTGTACCGCTGCCAGCTGCTCCCCTTTAACACGCATGTCTTCACCCTGCTGCATCTTGCAAGGTTGGGTAGGGTGTGGCAGAGGCAGGTGGGGCGGTGGCAGGTGGGGCGGTGGCAGGTGGGGCGGTGGCAGGTGGGGCGGTGGCAGGTGGGGCGGTGGCAGGTGGGGCGGTGGCAGGTGCGGCGGTGGCAGGTGAGGCAAGCAGGGTGGTGCAGGGCAGGCGGCACGGCTGTGCTGCTGACTGAGTAGGTGGCCATCATGGCACGCACGCTTGCCCCATGGCATCTCAGCACCTCCATCTGTCACACCACAATCACTTGCACCACACTGTGCTTCCTCGCCCTCCCCTGTGCCACACCATATAGTGCCACCACACACCACGTCACCACATGCGATATCATTGCATGGCATTTCGTCAATGTCACCACCACAATGCCTGCCGTCACTGCACCCCTCTCCACCGCTCTCAATTACCGCACCCATTCCTCCCACAGTACGCCCTCCTCCTACTTCCTCCACCTCTCCATTGTTCATGCCCGCCCCCTGCCCTCCGCCCCCCCCACCCCCAACCAGCCACCCCTCCCCCTCAAATCCGCCACGGAACCCCTCCAGGTCATGCTCGTTAGAGAGTGATTCGATATCAGCCACCTCCTCATCCCACCGCACCGGTGCCGCTGCTCCCAGCGCTGCCAGCACGCCTGCTGCTGCTGCCGCGCGCCCTGCCATGGGGTGCTCCTGGGGTGGGCGTGCAGTGCGGTGGGGAGCGGTGCGGGAGGCAGAGAGAGCGGTGTGCAGGCGCAGCGCGAGGCGGTGGAGGGCGGGCGTGTGGCGGTGCAGCGAGATGACGCGCAGGGGACCACAGCGACACGCTCGGTTGATGCTGGCTGCCAGGTGGATGGCACAAGGGAAAAAGGGAGGGGAGGGGTGGGGAAGAGATGGTGAGAGGGGAAGGCAGAGGTAGTGGTGAGAAAGGGGGTGGAAGGAGAACGGTTGAGGGATGTGGCAGCGGGTGCAGAGTGGAGGGCGAGGGATACAACGTGGGGCAATGCATGCATGGTGCATGTGAGCCCTGTGGCTAACCCATGCCCGCACTCAAGCCTGCCCGCCTGCATGCACGCACCATGGTGCAGGCAGATGGGGTCGCGCACACAGCAGCACGCCACCACGGCCAGGTGGCAGAGGCGGCAGCACAGCGAGCACGGCACCGCTGCCGACAGCCCCGGCAGCACCACCACCACGGCCGCGCGCTGCTCCATCCACCCGCGAATGCGCCTCTCCTCGCCCAGCAGGCGCACAAACTGCTCCACCGCGCTGCGCCCCACCCGCCCCATGGCCGCCAGGCGAGGTGGCGTCACGTCAATGGCATTGATGGCTTGAATAGAGTCAACGGGGTCAATCGAGTCAGTGGGGTCAACAGGGTCAACAGGGTCAACAGGGTCAACAGGGTCAACGGGGTCAGTTGGGTCAAAGGGGTCAGTGGGATCAGTAGGGTGAGAAAGGCCCACAGGGTGAGCAGGGTGAATGAGGGCGAGGGGTGTGGTGGAGGCAGGAGGGTAAGAGGGGTGAGTGAGGTCAGCAGTGTCAGTGGTGTCAGTGGAGGGAGGCGGGTCAACAGCGTGAGCATAAGCCTCACTGCCCTCCTCACAGCGCCCTATCCGTGTGCCACCGCCACTGCTGCTTGCCACGCCACCAGGCGCTGCTGCCGCTGCACAGGCAGGCAAGTCAACGCGGTCAACACGGTCAGCAGGGGGCCCCGGGCCACTCTCCAGCCCTGTGCTCGCCTCTTTCTCCGCATGCTCCTCATCCTCCCCCGCACCCCCCTCGCCCCCCTCGCCCCGCCTGCATGCCAGCAGCCCCACCACGTGGCGGCACAGCAGCTCCTCCCAGCAAAGCAGCGGCGGGTGGCGCAGCACGGCGTAGCGCCGGGCGGCAGCAGCAGCGAAGGGGAACCAGTCGGGCGGCGCGAAGTTGACCGCCTCGCCGCAGTTGAAGCCTGGGGGGCGGGGGTTTCAAGGGGGGGAGAGGAGCATGGGGGTGTGCACGTGAGCAAGGTAAGGGGGGAGAGGAGGGGACAGCGGGAGAAGCAGTGAAGAACGGGAAGTGACATGTAGTCAAGTCAAGGTTCCATGTGTGCTGTTATGGGAGTGAGCTGCACATGCACGTGCACGTGCCACTGCCCGCATGCCACACACAACAGCACCACCACAGCACCCCATCGCCTCACCATGGCTGAACCCAGCATGGTACGACCGCGGGTACGTCACCACGAACTCCCCCGCAGCCTGCACGGCGCGCACCACCGCCACGCCATGCGCCACCAGCAGGCGCGGGGAGAACATGCTCGTCTTTCCCATCAGCGCCTCACACGCCCGCCCCACCGCTCCACCCCCCCACCGCGCCTGCTCGCCCGCCCCTGCACCACCCGCCCTCTTTGCCTCACCCCTTGCCTCACCCCTTGCCTCACCCCTTGCCGAACCACTGTCGCCCCTCACTGCATCAGCCCCTCCCCCTGCTGTGCACCTCCCTCCGTGCCCCCGCCCTCCGCGCCCCCCCCTCCTGTTCCCCCACCCACCCCCTCGCCCAGGCGTCCGCTCCTGCTCTCTGCACGCGGTGCCCCTTCCCTCCGCTCCGTGGCCCCGTTGCGCCCTCCCTCTCTCCTCCTCGCTCTTCACGCCCCCACTTGCTTCCCTCACCATGCAATCCCCCTCGCCCGCCCCAACCGGGATGTCCCCCTCCCCCTCCCCCTGCCCCTCCCCTCGGCGGTACACGTGGCGCATGGCCACGGCCTCAAAGGCGTGCGCCGCCATGGCCGGCACGCCGTACCACGTCTTGGGCGCGCCCATGTGGTGGTAGTTGATGCTGGGGGGGGGAGATGTGTGGAGAGGTGCGGTGTGGTGTGGTGTGGTGTGGTGTGGTGTGGTGTGGTGTGGGACGCAATGAGTTGCGAAGGGCTGGCATGCGATGATATGGGATACGGTGGGATGGCATGGAAGAAAAAAGAGAGTGGGTCCAGCTCAGCGTGACCCAGGTTAGGGCAACCAGCGGCGCACATGCACGTGTCACTGTGCTTTGTGTAGCACTCCTGTCATGCCAGCCCCTGGCACAGCACGGCAGTCCGCGGCACACGGTGGTACAGGGCGCCATGGGGTGTGCCCACCTGTAGAGGTAGTGGTCCTCGACGTGCCCACCTGTAGAGGTAGTGGTCCTCCTCGACGTGCCCACCTGTAGAGGTAGTGGTCCTCGACGTGCCCACCTGTAGAGGTAGTGGTCCTCCTCGACGTGCCCACCTGTAGAGGTAGTGGTCCTCGACGTGCCCACCTGTAGAGGTAGTGGTCCTCCTCGACGTGCCCACCTGTAGAGGTAGTGGTCCTCGACGTGCCCACCTGTAGAGGTAGTGGTCCTCCTCGACGTGCCCACCTGTAGAGGTAGTGGTCCTCGACGTGCCCACCTGTAGAGGTAGTGGTCCTCCTCGACGTGCCCACCTGTAGAGGTAGTGGTCCTCGACGTGCCCACCTGTAGAGGTAGTGGTCCTCCTCGACGTGCCCACCTGTAGAGGTAGTGGTCCTCGACGTGCCCACCTGTAGAGGTAGTGGTCCTCCTCGACGTGCCCACCTGTAGAGGTAGTGGTCCTCGACGTGCCCACCTGTAGAGGTAGTGGTCCTCCTCGACGTGCCCACCTGTAGAGGTAGTGGTCCTCGACGTGCCCACCTGTAGAGGTAGTGGTCCTCCTCGACGTGCCCACCTGTAGAGGTAGTGGTCCTCGACGTGCCCACCTGTAGAGGTAGTGGTCCTCCTCGACGTGCCCACCTGTAGAGGTAGTGGTCCTCGACGTGCCCACCTGTAGAGGTAGTGGTCCTCCTCGACGTGCCCACCTGTAGAGGTAGTGGTCCTCGACGTGCCCACCTGTAGAGGTAGTGGTCCTCCTCGACGTGCCCACCTGTAGAGGTAGTGGTCCTCGACGTGCCCACCTGTAGAGGTAGTGGTCCTCCTCGACGTGCCCACCTGTAGAGGTAGTGGTCCTCGACGTGCCCACCTGTAGAGGTAGTGGTCCTCCTCGACGTGCCCACCTGTAGAGGTAGTGGTCCTCGACGTGCCCACCTGTAGAGGTAGTGGTCCTCCTCGACGTGCCCACCTGTAGAGGTAGTGGTCCTCGACGTGCCCACCTGTAGAGGTAGTGGTCCTCCTCGACGTGCCCACCTGTAGAGGTAGTGGTCCTCGACGTGCCAGGCGAAGGTGCTGAAGAGCATCCCCACGTACAGCATGGGTTCCGTCACGCCCTGCCGTGGTGGTGGGGGGAGGTGGGGAGGGGGAAGAAGGGGTGGCCAGGATGCAGAGAGGCAGGGCGGTGAAGGAGGGCGGGGAGGGTGAAGGGGCGATGGGATGATGGGCGGGTGAAAGATGGTGGGCGGAAAGGGGCTGGGGGGAGACACGGGGGGTGGTTGTAGGAGTTGGTGGGGATGAAGGCGAGAGTGAGTGCAGCGATCAAAGACAGCAGCTCGGTTGGATGCGGTGAAAACACGCAGGAGGGACAGAGAGGAGAGAGCACATGCTCTCTTGGGACATGCAGGGTGGACGCGGCAGGGGGGAGGGGCAGGGGGGAGGGGCAGGGGGAAGGGGCAGGGGGGAGGGGCAGGGGGGAGGGGCAGGGGGGAGGGGCAGGGGGAAGGGGCAGGGGGGAGGGGCAGGGGGGAGGGGCAGGGGGGAGGGGCAGGGGGGAGGGGCAGGGGGGAGGGGCAGGGGGGAGGGGCAGGGGGGAGGGGCAGGGGGGAGGGGCAGGGGGGAGGGGCAGGGGGGAGGGGCAGGGGGGAGGGGCAGGGGGGAGGGGCAGGGGGAAGGGGCAGGGGGGAGGGGCAGGGGGGAGGGGCAGGGGGGAGGGGCAGGGGGGAGGGGCAGGGGGGAGGGGCAGGGGGGAGGGGCAGGGGGGAGGGGCAGGGGGGAGGGGCAGGGGGGAGGGGCAGGGGGGAGGGGCAGGGGGGAGGGGCAGGGGGGAGGGGCACTAACCGGGATATCGACGGGCAGGCGGCGCAGCACAGAGGCAGGCAGACGCGGCAGCAGCTGATGGGGGCAAGGCGAGGCGGGGTTCAATGTTGGGAGAGGACGGGAGAGATGGGCGGAGAGAGGTAAGGAGGACGAGTGAGGGGTGTGGTGACAAGGCATTTGTGCAGGTGAGAGGCAGATGAGAGGTGAGAGGTGAGAGGTGAGAGGTGAGCGGTGAGCAGCGGTGAGCAGCGGTGAGCAGCGGTGAGCGGGCTATGCAGTGGTGGGCAGAGCAGGCGGTTCACACGTTGAGGTTCCAGGCAGACGAGGCGAGCGGGTCACGCGGGTCGCAGCTGAACCCCGTGCCGTCCACGTCGCTGCCGTACTCCACATGCGCCACCCCCCGACCCCCGCGCGCCCCTGCGCCCCCGCCCCCCCCCTCCGCCCCTCGCCCTCCGCCCTTGTTCCTCTCCGCGTGCCCCCCTGCCTCCCTGCCGCCGCCCTCCATCTCCTGCCAGTACAGCTGCTCCACCATGCCAGCTGGCAGCGCTGCTGACGTGGCGAATCGTGTGGCCAGGAAGCGATCGGCCTTGCGCTCGAACTCGGGAAGAGAGTAGGTTCTGTTGGCGGGAGGGGAGGTGGAAGGGTGGGCGTGAAGGGAGGGGAGGATGAGGCCGAGAGAAGCGAGGCGTGGGACACGGACAGGGAGGAACGAGAGGGAGGAGCGGTGGGTGGGGCAGTATCGTGAACGTATCGTCGCCACGTCACCATGCAAGAACAGCGGCGGGGCTCACCTGCCGCTCATGCGGAAGGCGGGTGGGTCGCCATGCGCGCACGCCGCCACACGCACGGGCTGCTCGCGCGTGGTGAAGCGGAAGGGGCGCTTCTGCCCGCGCTGCAGCACGTGGCCCGCGGGCACTGTGGGCAGCACGGGCGGCACGATCTTGCAGATGCCTGCATGGGGGGGTGGGGTGAGGGCAGGGGGCGGGAGAGGGGCCAGGACGGGAGGGGAGGGGAGCGAAGACGTGGGGAGGGCGCGACCGTTGGTCTTTATGGGTGGAACGGTGCTCCGTGTCTGCCCCGCTGCATTGCCTGGCCCGCGTGCATGCGCGCAGCTGCGCAGGGGGCGGGTTCGCGAGCTGCAGCGCAGCCTGCTTGCCTGCACGGGGGTGCTGGTGGGAGGGAACGGGAGGGGAAAGTGAAAGGTGGCAAACGCGTGCACGACCGCCGGTGTGTCCACGTGTCACCGAAACAAAACTGTGACGAGAACATCACTTCGCCAGTCACTACAATGTGACTTTCTGTGCGAGAATTCTCAAGTTAGACGTGACATTTGTGTGACATTCGGCCCTTGCGTTTTCCGCGATGGAATGCGGCTGTGGGGATGGACTGGGTCTCTGGAGGGACGAGGGGCGAGGCGGAGGAACTGGGAGCAGCGACGTCGGCAGGTCGAAGCGCGTCGGCGAGTGGGCGGGGTTCTCACGCGCCGCGGAGTGGGAGGCGGAAGGGGGGGAGACGAACACGAAGAGGAGAGGGCAGGGGGGTGCGGAGTGAGCGGGAGCGCGCGGGGAGCAGGGAGGGCGGCCTTCCGTGGCGTGACCGAGCCGCGACGACCACCTCTCAGCCTCAGAGACCTTGGCGTCCGCGCCTTCCCACGCGCCATGAGCCCCGCGTCGGCTGCAGCGGCAACTTCGCCTCTACCCGTCCCCCTCTCACTTGCTCTCCCACCCAGCGGCGGTTCGTCGCTGGGAGGGGCGGCGCGAGCTGAGCGCGACCAACGCCGAAGGGCGTCGACTCTCGCGGTTGCATCGTCGGCCCGCGGCCGTCACGGGCGGCGAACCACGCACGAATATCGCGTGGGTCCATCCCGGTGCGCCGCTTCATCCCTCGCTCACCACACCACGACCACCTCTCCGCCCGCTCTCGCGCTCGTTAGCGCGTCGCTAACGAATTTTGGTAACTCTGAACGGCGGAATAAACGCATTTTAGAGTTGCATTGAATCCAACTCATTCTACCGCGATGCCCCACCGGGCCGCACCCGTTAGTGGCGGCTGGAAGGACCGACAATGTCCACCTACCGTGCAGCGAGGCCCACCCACCGTGCAGCGAGGCCCACCCACCGTGCAGCGAGGCCTCGGGGCGAATCTTCTCGATGTACGCGAGCGGATCGCGGAACTCGTCCTCCGTCGGGTAGTACACGGGGCACTCGGGGATTCGCCGAATCCAATCGTGATCGCCCATCCCGTCACAACGCCTCTAACAAAATGATGGTTGCGCAGAGTTTCGCACATGCAGTTCGATAATGATGGTTGCGCGCTCTAATCGCACGTGCTGAGGATCGTTCTTCTACCCACGTAGCGTGGTTATCGCGGCTCGTTCACGGTTCTCGCGGCCGATGACCTCGCCGTCCACGAGCAGCGATGAAGCTCAAACAACGTAGCTTTATCGCGGCGAGTGTTGGCGTGTAGCTAAGGGATGCGTGGCTTGATGTCGCTATAGCTACGCTGAACGCTCCTCGGGCTCGAATGGGGTAGCGGATAACACTTAAAGCTGCAGCTTTGGCTTCTAAATCGACCATGTCGTGCATCGTGTGCATCCATCTCATCTCATCGTCTTGCTTCCAAATCTACTGCACTTGCTGTCTTCAGGCTTGGCGGCCGACAAGAGGGTGTGGTGGAGCAAGCTGGGGGGGAGGGAGGCATTTTCGGCAGCCTCCAGCCTCCACCACCATCGATCGACTCGACTCGACGACACCACACGACCTGCGCCATGCTTCCATCCATTCAATTCCGAAGCTGGAAAGCTGATGGCTCGGCTGCAGGTTAATTCCGAACCACTCGGTTAGGTTAAGAAGCTTTCTGGGTTTTGATTGCTCCTGCGCTGCGCCACGTTTGGTAATGCATCACGACGCCAGCGCGGTCCGCCTTGTTCTCTGGACGGTCCGAGTCAGCTCAGTTGGTCCGATCAACCAGGCACACCTGGTCGAGAAATGCTGCCGTGCCATCCGAAGGGAAGGCCGAACCAACTTACGAATCTGTCTGACCTCACCTTCTGGGCCAATCGCCTTCCAGAAATCTGAGAGGCAGGTGATGTGACAAATGGTTCACGAGGAGACGGTCACTTCGCCTCGCCTCGTCAGCTGCCCCTCACCTCTGTGACGAAGCCGACAAACGTGACAAAGATTTGGGTCTGGTTTGGTTCGCCTGGCCAACTTGATGGCTGGACTTGGCTCCAGCTGTGCCAAACAAAATCTCGGTTCACATCGCATCTAACTGCATTCGTCCATTCATCAAACGAGCAAATTGCACCACGTCAATGTCCGTGTGATGGAAGAGTGTTCGTTAGCGGGAGTCGCGAAACTTCGCTTTTGTCGGCTATGGGCTTGCCTGATCAGCATGAAGGGAATCGAGGAAAGTCAACGATGGCCGGCCTGCGCGCCTAAAATCTTGTGATTACACATCCTTCAAGTTCAAGAAAATTCGACAAAATACCTTCGCAAATTAATGAAACATAACAATTTCAAGACCGCCATGGCGTTTGTGAGGCGACTCAAAGCCTTCAATGTCTATCTTACCCCGCACAAGAAACAAGTTCCTAATCTTTGAGATCCCCTCCTTGCAAGGGTTGCAAAAATATATCTTTCTGTTTACACGAGATACATTGGCACATGAGCTGATTGGTCAGAAATGTGTAACACATTGTAATCCCTTCCGAGATTCGAACTTGCTATCTCGGTTTCCAGAGTTACCAAGGCTGTCTTCATCACCAGTGTTATGCCACTTTAACTGTTAAGGTGAAGCCCTGCACGCGCCTGGTTTTGCGTGTAGCAGCCCTATGCGATATAGCGAGGTTTCGCATACCGCATACCGCAGCGTCGGTATTCGCCGAGTACACTCCAACAGTGCACTTCGGTATGCACTGTCCAACACTGGACCGAGCTGGAGGGAAGTGGCGACATTTCACAAACGAGTATGTGCAACTGTCTATTGCGAGCACCTGCGCAACTACTCCTGGACAGGTAGAAAATACACCTGACGGTACTTTCACCTGATGGCGTTTTCAGCTGGCGGTGCCAACCTGGAACCGCATACTAGACTAGGTGCTTGCACATTCTCCTTGAACAACGTTCTTCATGAACAACGTTCTCGTAGAGCGTTCTCGCACACGTCACTATGTTTTCTATAAGGTTCATGTTGTATATCTTGTAATCAATCAATTAATGAATCACTTTCCTTTCGTTACTGGATACCAAGCCTGTTGCTGCATATCAAGCACACAGTTATCCGAATACCAGTATCCGGTCTCCAACAAGTCTGTACACGGAAAACTTGCACCTCTCTCTCTGATCGTGCAACTCTGCGCCTGGGCTCTCCCACAATCGTCTATTCTCCGCATGGTGCGGTGAGCGTGGACGCATACGCAAACTTCAGATAGCCTCGAATACGATTGACGAAGTTGTCAACCTTGGGCCGGCAGCCACTTCGATTCCGTATGGTTGGCGAGGGCGCCGCTACGGAAGTCATGGACCTGGAGGCGCAGGTCGCTGCTTTGCGGGAGCGCCACAGTCGTGGCGAAATCAGCGACGCAGATATGGAGCTGATGATCGAAGGAGCTCGTTCGAAGTGGGCTCGCGATCACCCACCTCCTCGCGCCGAGGTGGAAATTGAGTCCGCTTCTCCCCGTGCTGAAGGCAAAAACGTCAACATCGATAGCAATGAAGGCGCAAGAGTGACGCGCGGTGAAATGCGAGGGGCCATCAGAGTGCACACCGCAAGCGTCGGTGGAACGCAAGCGCAAGTCCTTCGATCAGCCACTGCAGCGAGTGCGCGTAGTGACGCGCACGGTCGTCGCAACCCTGCACGATCAAGTGGTGGCGGACCCTCGTGGACGGCAAATGCGTCAACGGTACTTCAAGTTCTCACCCGACAAGATCGTCGTGCCAAAAACTGCTTGAAGGGCATCACGACTTGACAACGTGGGTCGAGTCCATTGAGCCGCCGTTGGAGATCGCACACTTGAAGAAGTTCGTTGACGGCACGGTGGAGGTGCCGCCTGTGGATGACGCTGAACGGCGTGCACTGTTTCATTCTGCACAGCTGTTGACGTTTATGGTCATCTCAAGGTGTTGCTCACCGGTCGTCCAAGTTGCATTGAAGCCATGCCGTCTTCGGGTGGACGCTGGTTTTCAAGCTTGGCAATTCATAATGAAGACCTACAAGGCAATGGATGACCTTTACGTCGGCCAGCTGGAGCAACGGTTGACAAATTTGGAGATGAGGGAGCATGAAAGCGCAACCGCATACTACAATCGCGCACAACAGATTCTTGCAGATCTGCGTATGGCTGGCGTGGACTACTCAATGTCTTTGTATGTCACGCATGTCATCAAAGGTCTGCCTGCAAGCTACAATCTGTCAACGGGAGTTGTTGTTGGCCCCGTCCTCGCTTCGGCGGAGCCGACCTCGGGGTCGAGCGTGAGGAGTGCAGCCGACCTGCAACAGAGGGCGAGCTGGTCGACGGGCCTGGTCGACCTGCACAAGTGCCACTGCAAGGGCGCCGACTTTGGGAGGGCGCCAACTTCGGCTGGTGGACTTGGGAGGTCGACCAGTGGAGGGCGTCGACTTGGGTGACGCCGACCAGAGGAAGCCGACTGGGTGTGGTCGGCTGACAGGTGTACTGGTCGACCTGGAGTTGGTCGACCAGGTGGGTTGTCGACCTGGAGTTGGTCGACCAGGGGAGTGGTCGACCTGGTGAGGTCGACATGTGGTGGTCGTCGACCTCGGCGGTCGACGGGCCTGGGATGACACACCTGGTCGACTTGGTTGCGTGGTTGACCAGGTTACCCGGACGACGAGGTCTGTGAGGTTCGCGACTGTCGCCCAGGTAGATTGGCAATATCGACCTGCGGTTCGGTGGCACGTGGTCAACAGGACTCCTCAGGTGCAACCGTCGACATGTGGTCGACTTGGCACCTGCGCAATGTGCGTGGCGGTGCATGTCGTTACCGTCACCTTGCACCTGCGAAGTAGGGGTGCGCACACATGAGCACATGTGGTGACCTATGGTGGCCTGTTGTTGGTTTGCTGGCACGCCAGCCTTGCAGGTCGACCGAGGACGCCTGTGGACGCCTGAGGTCGACCAGCTGGCAAGTCGCCTTCGTGCTGAGCTGGTGGTCGACTTGTATGTTAGGCTTCTAATGTAGTCTACCTTGCCAATCTAGTTGCTACCATTGTTCTCAACTTTTGCTAGTGAAACTCTTGCGGTTTTGCCCTGTGAACGCACAAGTGCTAGAGAACGACTAAGGGAACGAACGCAGAGTTCCCTTCTACCCCGTGCCTAGCCCGTAGTCTAGCTCCTCTTGATAGAGTTATCTCCGCATGGTGCGGTGAGCGTGGACGGCACACGATATACCCCTTTAGTCAGGTCGACGTAGTGGTCACTTACCTAATTCGTGTTTGTAAGCCGGCAGCCGTGCGGTAGTCACTATGGTAGGCGCTATAGGTGACGCAGGAGTGGTGGACTCCCTGGAGGCACGGCTGAAGGACGCGAGGAGACGCCATGAGGCCAACGAGTACGGGCCAAACCTACCATTGGCGGTCATCGAGGCAGGCATCCGCTCGGTGTGGGCGGAAGAGCACCCTGCTCGACCAGCTTCTCCTCGACCGGTGAACAACAAGGGCGGCGTTGACGTGGGAGTCTATGCCGGTGGTGACCAAGTCGGCAGCAGTGCGGGAGGCACGTCGAGGCAGCGAGGTGTGATACATGCCGATGAGGTCGGCAGTGTTCAGGCGCGAGGGATGCGGTCGTCGGCGGTTGTAGGCTCCTCACAAGGTGACGTCGGAGGTCGACGAAGCAGTTTGTCGCCGATGTCGGCGACCCACGTGACAGCGGGCGGGATTGCACCGAGCTACGGCTACTTCAAGTTTACGCCGGACAGGATCTCGGTCACACCCCTGCTTGTTGGTCGACTTGATATCCTCACCTGGAAAGAAGCCATCAAGCCCCAGCTGGAGATGGCCGGGCTGATCGGCTTCACCAGGGGCACTGTGGCGACGCCGGAGGAACACTGCCCCGACTTGCGAGCGGAGTTTCGCGCCGTGCAGTTGCTGACCTTCACGGTCATCTCGCGGTGCTGCTCGCCGGACGTGCAGATCGTCTTGAAGTCGTGCAGGGAGTACCTCGACGCCGGCCACCGGGCATGGCACTTCATCGAGTCGACGTACCAGGTCACCAACGCCCTG